CTAAAAGCTGCTTCAATGATGAGTAACATTTCCCTGAGTTTACCCTTCAGCTGACCAAGATCAACTGCACTAGGAAGGCAGCACAGAACAGATTCTCTACTTCAGCCATGTTAACAGCCACAAACTACTTGATGTTTGCCCCTAGCTTTGTTCTGCCTTGACCGCATGTCATAAATTCAAACTTGCATCCTGATGATGGCTCACATTCTTGAATGTTAGCAAAGTGCCTTCCATTCCATTAACAAAATCTGGCCATCAGCTCATAGGTTTCTGTACCCCTGGGTACTGCAGAAAAGACATCACAGACTTCATGCATATTAAAAGCGTGTTCACTTACGTGAGAAATACTGAGATGACATGAACTAGGAAGTTGCTAGCATATACAAGGGGCCAAGCTGCTTTGGTTTCCCAGCGGAAGAGGAGGAGTTGTCTTTTTTTTTTTTTTTTTTTAAACATGGAGGAAGTCAGAAGCACTTTGTAAGGATTCTACCACCTGCAAGTCAGCTGGTTTTGAACCTTCAAAGCTTGGATTAAAATTTCTTCTACACTGTTAATCATACCCATTACTCATCCTGGCCCAACTATTATCTTGTGCCTTAAGAGGTTTGCAGGGGTTGCTATTACACCGGCTTCTGCCACATATGCAGAGTCACTACAGAACACCTTTACTACAATGTAGTTGACCTCACAGAAAGAGTTGTCCAGCTCCCAAGATTTGTCCCATGTCATCTTTCATTGTCATCCTAAGTCCCGCCTCATCATACAGACAGAAGACTTTTTGCAGCTCCAGAATCACCTGAAGACCCATGAGAACGGGTCTCTATTTGGGCTCGCACCATCAGAGGATGACGTACAAGTGCTGTAACAGAAATACAGGCCCACACCCCAGTTATGAGCCTGCTTCCACTTACTTAAAGGAGACATGCAAAACTTTTCCTACCACCTTTCAGGACCCTCCTGCAAAACACCGGACATGTGATAAAGGAAAGCATTCCCTACATACAGCAAACTTTTCAATCATTCTTAAGTACTTATTTTCCCCCAGATAGCCAGTTTTAGAAGGACATTAAGTTGTAAAGGAAGAGGCTGCTTAGAAGCATTCAAGGAGCAACAGGAATGAGCCCTCAAAACAGTCTCCAAGGAGCAACTGGAATTCCTCTGTAGGCTATTGCTCTTCTCTTGCATAGGCAAAGACCAGCAAGAAAAAACAAAGGTATGATAAACGACTAATGGCACAAGGCTGCTTATGTAGCAAAGCATATATGCTTCTGTCAGCTAATTCTGGCTGGAAGAAAAAAAAAAAAAGGATCCTTTCCCTCTTGGGTTAACACACACAACAGTTCTTTAATTAGAACCATAATGGGTCATAGATCAGTTTTTTCCCCCTA